ATTCTAAGAAATTCGTAGGAGTAACTATAAGAAGTAATGGATTTTACAACATTATATATTATACGAAAAGCAGCATGAAGTATGTGGACAGGACGTTTTGAAATTTTCCACTACATCGTATTTAATGATAAAATCGAATCAAATGGCCGGTGATTTTCGTTACATCAATTTGAAGATTCAAGATGCGCGTTTACTTAACGATTGAGCAACTACTTGATAGCGTAATAGTGTCGTCGCCTGCGCGGTCCGTCCATGTTTCTAAACTAATCCTTCGACAGAATTACACTTGATTTCACCAAAGTCTTCGGTCGAAATATAACGCAAGTCACTTTGACGCGTTAGGGCTTGAGCATAAAATTGTCGCAACTTGCCATAACTGTTTCTGACAGAATCATAATTCGACACATACAGATTTATCATAAAAGCAACAGCACAATGTATACAAAGTATCAGCCATTGTGACGTTTATAGAAAACAATTAAAATTGTCGTTATAAAACTAGCCGCTAGAATCAAAATTTTTTGCATCATTGCTTTTTATTACTTCTGAGTTTCCAATAAAATTATTTTGATGGTTCAACAAAATTATCTTTCAGAATCAATCTCCAGTAAAATTTTAAATCTTTCAGTTAATTATTTTTTCCATGTATTCATTGCGCGATTACATTGTCAACGGATTTTTTTATAAACCGCACAAAAGTTGACACTTTATCTATCGTGTGCCCTTAATGACAATTTCTGTGCTTAAGTTCTTATTTTTAACCTACTGAAACACTGCGAAATCGTGATGTCTCGTAGAATTTTAATGATCAATTTACCGAATCGAATTTTCAGCAAAAGATTTTTGCTAATTGGTTTACGTTTACAATTCTCTTTACGTTCGCCAAGCATCACTTGTCTCCGTGCAAAGCGTCTATCATTGTCTCGAATCGCTCATCAAGTGATTTTGTGCAATTACGATATTATCCGCTTCCACTTGCACTTTATTCAGGCCTCACTTTCCTCGAGGAGCAAGAGGAGCGACCTTTGCAGAGGTCGCCGAGACCACGCTCGAGTTTCACCGACACAGTCGGCACTCTCATCGCACCGACGGACGTCAATTCCCTCGGTGCAGTGTTGGGATTATTAACTCGTTGCTTCCTTCTTCCCGCGTTATAGCGGAATTAATAATCGCTGCAAACGACGTTTATGTACCAGACGAGGAAATCGGTACGAGTCCCCTATTGTTTCGTGGACATCATCAGCTCCTTGGACTGCGGCTGATGAATAACGGCGAGTGTGGCTTCGTTAGCCATTAAAGGGAACGGAGTAAAAGCAGCTTTACATCCAAGAGGAAGAACTCATCCTGGGAGGTCTAGGTTGTTCGTGGATCATTCGCGATTGTAGACACACATATATGCATGTGTGAAGAGATTTCTGTCGAGATATACAAGCGAATAATTAATTACAACCCGTTGATGACAGCAGATAAAAGCACTAGACAATTGGAGGCTTAATTTCCGTATTTAAATATCTTCTAATGTAATAAGAGCTATCTTTCTTTATATAGAGCGATCCGGAAGTTGAAAAATTAAATACATACATAGGCTATAAATTTGATGAAACATTATCTTATTCTTATTTTATGATGACAATCATGTTACAATTTTACGATTTTTATTTAAATTTTTTTTAAATTATGACACTTTGAAATATTTCTAAAAAAAAAAAAAATAATTATCTTCTTGGGAGTATTTAGTTGAATCATTGAAATTATATTATCACGTTCTAAAACGAACATAAATACAGATGTAATGTTCTTCTATTTAAACTGTCTAAAATATCGAAACTGACCAAGATTATACTGACCCGAACCAGTATTGTTGGCAGGTAATCATTAGATTGGAACTCCGTGAAATAATGAAAAATAGCAGGGATAGTAATTGCTTGTTAATTAATAAATGGTTGGTATCGAAAGAAGGTCGGAGATAATGACAGTAGCAGTTACGTGGCGAAGTTACAGCGCGCTTCGAATAAGAAAGAGAAAATAAGAAGAAAGAAGAGAGAGAGGAAGAGAGTCTAGATTTACTTCCTATATAATTTTATTCCCTCGATAAATCGGTGATAGTACTTTTTTTCGCCATTAATCGCATCTTTTCACAGGCGAAACCTCGGATCACACCAATGAGAAACTCGTTACAGTATGTGCATGCTCATGTGTGCGTGTGTGTGTGTATATCCATCTTCGCGCAATTGCGCAATCATAAGTCGCTGAGAAAGCGCAACGTGCTCTTCGCGCTCTGTTCCTTTACTTCGTACATCGCATCCGTATATTCACCATGTTGCGCGATTAATTGCCACGACATGATACTGAAGAGATTCCGCTTTTAATGCGCGAATCGCTGCAGTTTTCACGTCGGCGCGCGAATCCTCTTCAATCGCGATGACAATCAATGAATTTCCGAAGCTCAAACTGATCCAATAGTGACGTACTGATAAGAAAGTAAAAGTCAATTTTATCGTTACTTTTATCGAAATCCTAGAGAGATCTTTCAATTTAGTAAATCAAATGAGAAAGTTAAGAACAAATGCAAATAAAGAAGTAGATTTTTTTAAATAACGACGAAATAGTATCAAAAAATGTTACAATTTTTCTAAGCATTAAAATGTTATTAAAGGGACTTTAAGAAATTTAAATAAAAATTATAGTGTCACCTTACAAGTTTCTATAAGTTAATACAATATGCACGCATAACAAATTGTTGTTCCATTAGAAGAGAGACTAACGAAAGAATATGGTAGGTCATTAGTGATAAGTCAATCGATAATTGGCCGACTCTTGACTCCAACTTAACGGTCGGTCGACAACCGACTCAAGCGTGCGTTTTGCGATGCCTCAGCTCGCACGAAGCGGTCGCCCGTAACGAGTGAATAATGACCTGGGTCGCTCTCACGCGTCTGCCTCTCAGCTGTTCACTTCCGCTAGTGAAAGGTGCATGCACTGTAGCCGGGAGCTATGATAAAACGTACTTACGTGCATCCTCATGGCGCGCGTCGCTCAGGTCGAACGAGCTAGCGCTCCGTTAGCGATTGGCAGCGATGGGAAGGCAGAACTCGAATCGATACGGATTATCTCAATTTTTCTGTTATAAATAATAGAAACGTAGACCTATTGGATCCTATAAAATCGTAGCACGTAAAACATTATGCAATCATAGCGAGAGGCCCTAAAAAAATGCTTTCGAGAAATCATGAAGAGATATAGAGAATATATCGCTGATCGGTCGCGTCTATTTCATCAAAATTCTACGCTTCTTAGCTTATATAGATATCGACTTCGAATCTTTCATTGCTCAAATGCTCCGTTATGCAATTCATATACAACACATGTATACACACACACACACACACACACACACACAGAGTCATGCATTCACCATCTCGCGCTTCATATTATGCATCATACGTACAAATCTAAGCAGATGATTCAATCGATTTTCGAGAGAGAAAGACAGAAACGCGGGAGGGATTCCTAAATGCTTAAGAAAGTTTATTCTCTATTCGCTTAGATCGTAATCGCAATTTTCCTCGATTCGTAATATGCTTCGAAATACGAAATATTTCATCAGAAGAGAACGTTCTTCCTAGAATTAATAATTCTAGGAAGAACGTTCTCTTCCTAGAATTCTAGAAAATTAGCTGTTCTTTTATTAGAATTATATTTTCCCACGAAATTTCATTTTTATCTCTCGTTAAAATTATTTATTGCATTGTTTTACGAAATAAAATTTTACGTCGTTATTCAGACGTTCGAAAATATCTGGAACACAGAATTAATTCCGCATAAATAAAAATAAACGGGACGTGTTACAGATGTGTAACACAATTTATAAGAAGCGGAATTTATAGGAAGCGAGAAATCGGAATCTGTCACTGACCTTGATATCAAATTCAGAAGAGGAACTAATCAGAGGAACATGCGACACACATTATGTAAAGATCAGAGTAGTTCACCGATTTTTATATCTTTATATCGCGGCTTTGAAGATTGATATAATACTTTTTTGAAATTCAAATCTCAGAGCAGATGTATTTTTGATTGTATTCGCGAAATTCGCATGCGGATACAGTTGCTTGTTTAATAAATCGCTTAAATTTTATTATATGATGATGGTATGTCGAAACTATTAGAATTATTTTTAATTTTTGTTCTATTTTTAAAATAAATTTAGAAACAAATAAGTTTTTTTATAAATAAATAAAAATTGTACGCAAAAGAATCAAGTACTATTTCTAATTATTACGAGGTAATTTTTCAATAATTTCAAGCTGAAAATTCTGAATTATGAGAAATTTTGAAAATTTTACTTGTTTAGAAATATTTTTAAAAAATTATATATACATATACATATAAATCTTTTGTAATAATTTATAGTTTAGTAAACTAACAAATTAACGAATATAGATATACATATAATATTTTTTATTTATTTTACTATTTCATAATATATTTTTATTTTTTATTATATAATTTTAGTTCTTATTATTTTTTTATAATATAATATTTCAATATAAATAATATGAAGCTAATTTCGTATAATATTAATTTATATTATATAGTTACAGACATAATATTGCTTTACATTTTAAGAGATTTTTATATAGAAAAATATATTGGTACACGCACGGACACACACACACACACACACACACACACACACACACACACACACACACACACACATACATATACATATATTACTATAATAATATATAAATTGCAGTTCAATAATATAGTACAAACAATAGTTAAATTATAAATTTATTATTAGGTGTTGGAATTAATTCGTAGCGTTTCTTAATGAAAGAATGTTATTTATTTCACATGAGCATTAAAAAATACATTAATGAAAGTACTTCCCATCACTTGTAAAACGCTACGAATTAATTCCAACACCTAATAACAAAAATTTATATTTGTATATTATTTGGCTTGAGATTATTTAATCATATATATCATTATTTACGACATTATTAACTTGTATTGTAACATTTCTATATACATTTTTCTCTTTAAGAAATTTTTAAAAGCTTACTTCTTTACTTCAACACAGAGATATTTAGTTACATAAGACTTGTTCATCATATTTCTGAATGTCGTAAATATGACATTCGGACTTAGGAGCAAAAAACGATCTTCTTGAATGCCGCACACGTAACAGTATGAGTATAAAGGGATGAAATCGGGAAGACATCAGCGAAATCTCATCACGTACAGTTTTGCGATTCTAACAGTCGGAATTTCTAAACCATTTCGCGTAGTCTGTCAAGCTGTGCAACGTAGATTTAAAATGGCTGTAGAGCATTACATCATAAATGGCGTTGATCCAATCCGTTCATATTTATAAAACACACAGCGTATTTTGTTTTTATTACGTTCAACAGGTACGGTGCGCGCAATTAGACGAATCCTTTAATGGAAACAGATACGTAATCTGTTGAAATGATCTGATGGAATCAATTATGTAAGTTAGTAAAATTTAATTCGTGAATGATTACAAGTAGTGAAATTAAAAGCAAAATCAATTTGAGCCTTGTATCGATATTGCAGTCAATGTGTGAAACAATGTCACAATCACCTAATCATCACAGAATCAGTCTAGACTTCGGTCGTCATTCTTTTCCGCCGGAAGCAGTGTGCGAGGTTTGGCAATGGTTTGTTCTTGCAGTTCTTGACCCATCCATCCCAAGCCTTGAATCCATGCTGATCGAAGATCTTCTTGGCACACACGATGTCTTCCTGTATATCGTCACTCAGATAGTCCTCGCAGCGCTTATCGCAGTTGCCACCTCTATGCCCTCTAGTGCACCACTCGACACTGTTGATCTGAAGGATACCATAAGAATAGCTGGAACCTCTCTTTGGACCAGTTACCAGATGCGTGTTCATCCCACTTTCGTATTGCATCAGGCAGACCCAGTTGCTGATGAAGGACCTACTGATTCTGGCTATCACTAACTGCCTTGCTGCCTCGCATTGTGTGTATATCTTTCCTTCCACCGACGAATGTGCAGTTACAATCATCAGAATGATGAGGATCCACAAACCCTTCATTTTTTAACGTGAATGAATATTCGCCCAGACTATTTGAGTATTAAAGTCGTCTTTCTCGATTACTTGAATTACTAATTGAGCGGATGTTCGAGCAATCAACTTGAGAGAAAAAATAATCGGTTGCTTTATGTTGTTCTTGAAGAACTATTAAAAAATTATTAAATTGTAGAATAATCTCATGATGTCTCAATATATACTTTGTGATCTTATAGATATACTTTTAATATCTAGGAAAATATTAAAAATCGATGAAGATATTCTTCACTGCCCGGCATTTTTCTATTAATCTTTAATAATTTTAATCGAAACGTTGTTTGTTGTTACCGCTTCTGATAAAGAATTATGCTTGCGTAATATCCGGCTCCTCAGGATGTTTATAATAATAATCCGCTTCGTAAAACTGAGATAAATTAATCTCACGTTTTTTTTCCGATGCGTAATGTAGCACAAGATGTTGACAACGATTGCACTGAGGATTCACGCGGAAATCCGTCTTATAAACGCGACGTCTGCCGCTAACATCGCGGATAATCGCAGATAACCTTGAGCTTGAGCGATATGCGCTATTTACTAACGTTAATTATAAAAAATACAAGCCGCGATAAAACCGTCATTTCGCTTTTCGCTTTCCGCTGTTGCGTATTGCATCACGATCTCACCCCACTTCAGCTTATTATTGCAAATATCCCATGGCATTCACGAGTATTTGACATTCTCGAAGAACATATTAACGCTTTCTAAAACAAACATAAGATAATTAGAATCAAAGATACGCTCCGGTGCTATTAACCTCTACAATAAAAACAACACAGCCTCTTCTCAGTGAAATTTTACATTACTCAGAATTCTTGGATTCTTTAATTCATGAAGATAATTGGCGAATACAGATAGCTCACAAAGAAGTTCATTATATAATCCATAAAAATTAAAAATATAAAAAATATGAATATGACATCAAATAATGCATGCGATATTTTATATTTTGTTATAGCATAAATTACATTTTTTTCAGAAAAAAAAGAGAAGAAATAATTCCTAATTTTATATTAATATTATTAATAAATGCAATATATTATTTTTTTAATAAAGTTTGTGGCCAAAACGGCTATCGCTACAATCAACACGTATCAAGACATACGGTAGTTTCGCGCCAAGCATCCGTGATCATCAAAATAAGGATTAAATAGTTATTGTGCAAAATACAATGTTGTTTTAACTTGTCACTACTTTTATAAAGCTAGATAAATTAAGTATTATGTTTTACACAATAATTATTTAATAATTATTTTGATAAGTGTATACTTTTGGCACACATTTTTTATCATCCTTTAAAAAAATAATTTAAAGGTAATATTTGTTTAACGCAAAATAATCAGATGCAGCTTTCTAATATGTTATAATTAACGCTTAGCGGAATATATTTTATTTCATGCATGAACTTGGGAGCAAAAGCAATCTTCTTATAAAAATAAAATCGGAAAGACATCGGTGAAATCTCATTACGTACAGTTGTGTAATTCTAACAGACGAAATTTCTAAATTAGTTTCGCGTATAGTGTCGTCTGTTAAGCCAAGCAGCGTGAGTTTTAAACGATGTAATGAGTCATAAGTAGTGCCAATCTAATCAGTTTAGATCCATATTTATAAAGCATACTAACATACTTTGTTTTTATTGCGTTCATTGAACATACGATGCACACATTTAGGAAGATTCTTTAATAGAAACAAATATGTAAATCTGTTAGAATACAATTTGATGGAATCGATTACATAAATTTCTAAAATTTAAGTCGTGAAATATTACAAGAGATGCAAAAGACTTTATAGAAGCGAGAAAATGAAAAGCAAAATTTATTTAAGCTTCGTATTGATTACAGTCAATGTGTCCAACAGCGTCCACAAAATCACACTCATCACAAAATCGGAACGATCTCAATCTCGCCATTCTTCTTCTATACATACATTTTGAAATGTCTGGTAGTGGTTTGTTCTTGCACTTTTTCATCCATCCATTCCAAGCCTTGAATCCATCCTGATCGACGATTTTCTTGGCACACATAATATCGTCCTGTATATCATCATTCAGGAAATCTTCGCAGCGCTTATTACATTTGCCACCTGTACGTCCTCTGGCACACCATTTGTTACTGTTGATCTGAAGAATACCATAAGAATAGCTGGAGGCTGTTTTTGGACCAGTTACCAGTGCGGTGTTCATCCCACTTTCGCTTTCCATCAGACAGATCCAGTTGCTGAAGAAGGTCCTACTGACTTTAGCTTTTTGCAGTTCTTTTACGGCTTCGCATCGTCCGAATATCTTCCCCTCCACCGGCGAATGAACAGTTAAGACCATCAAAACGAATATGATTACCAACGTTCCTCTCATTCTTTAATAGGAATGAATATTGAGACTACTTAGTTTGTCTTTCTTGAATCACTAATTGAATGGTTGCTCTGATTAATCAAGCAACTAACTTGCGAGAAGAAGTAATCCAACGATAATTTTATATTTTGAAAAATTATTCAATTGTTGGATAATCCGATGAAGTTTAAGCTTAAGTCTCAATACTTTGTAATCTTGTAGTGTGATCTTGTAAACATTTACAATAAATGTTTAAGAAGATATTAAAAATTGATAAAGATATTTTTTATTTTCTGATGCAATTCGGCACTCTTTAATAACTTCAATCGTTGTTTGTCATTCACGCTTCTAATAAAGAACTATACTTATCGAACAATATTATCGAATAATATTGCTCAGAATATGTTTAAGTCGCTTTTCTGTTCGAAACTAAGGTAAATTGACGACTTCGTTTTCTTTCCGAAGAGCAATATGGTTCAAGATGTTGACAACGATCGTACTGAGAAGTCATGTGGAATTACTCTGTCTTATAAATGCGCCGTCTACTACTAATGCCGCGAACGATTAAAATGACCTTGAGCTTGAGCGATATACGCTATTATCTACCCACACCGTAATGAGATTCAAGCAGATAAGACCATCTCTTCGCTTTTTCATCGCGATCTCGTTACGTTTTGCTTTATTACTGCAGATGGCTTCCACAAGAATTTCATATCCAATAAGAATGATGTTCTCGAAGAGATCATTAATGCTCTCTAAGACAAATATAAGATAATGGAAGCGAAGATTTTCTGAACTATTGACCTCTTCAATAAAAGCCACGCAGTCCCTTTTCAATGAAATTCGCCATATACGTGAAAGTCTTAAGATCACGAAGACAAATCACCAGTGAAGATACAGCTTACAGAGAGATCTATTTTATAACCCATAAAAATTAAAGATACAAAAATTAGAATATAAAATCAGGTATTTCATATTTTATTTTTTTATATCAATTAAATCATATCAATTAAAGAGAGAGGAGAAATATTTTTCTAATTTTATATTACACTTATTAATTAATGGGATATATTATGTTTTATAAACTTGGAAAAAAACCGTTATTATTGCTGTACACATAATTTGTTTTACAGCGAAATGATCAGATGTGTCATTCTAATATAATTAACACTTAGCAGAACATTTTATTTCGCGCAGTGATGTAATAAGTATTATTATATAATATTTGTTGCCTATAGTTTAATAATAATGTCAGTTTGACATTAAGACTAAAGACTCGTGATGCAATATAAGGAAACATCGTATTATTCTTCCACGAAGTAATATTTTAAGTTATTATCTATCGTCAAACAAAATGTATATTACAAATTATCGCTGCTACATTTCTAATTATATTTGACTTCCTTTCATTGCGTCAAACGAAAGTTCGATAAGTTATCACATCTAGCACGAGTTATTAAATCGATTTATTTCTCAATTTATTTCTATTAAAAATAATACAGCAGTTATTTTTAATTGAAGTTTGACCCGCTTCTGCTTCAAATTACAGAGTTTCCCGGAAACTCCAATCTTTTCCAAATCTTTTCGAATTCGATGAATGATCGATTTTAATATCACTTCCGGCATTTACTTTAAATATTGATAAGAAAGTTATAATAATATTGAGGCCAAAGAGAGAGAGAATTAACTGATTCCACGATTTCATACATATCCAGAAAGATTTGTTTAGAATACACAACAAGTAAGAATATTAAAGTCTATAATGGTCGAAGCTAGATCTTTAATGCTTAAATAATTCAATGTGAATTATATATATATATATATACTATATATGTACATGCATATATATCATATTTGTAGTCGCTCCAACTGTGCGCTGAATTGATTTTCCGGACTTATAAATGCAATTATACTGTTATAATATCACAAATTAAATTAAATTGATGATCAAATTTTAATAATGACAAATGTGATATATATGCATGTACATATATAGTACATATATGTAAAATTTATAAAGATCTAGCTTCAACCGCTACATGCTTTAATATTCTTACTTGTTGTATATTCACATTATGGTCTTAATAAAATCATTTATTATTGTTTATATTCTATTTATAATAATATTTTTAAATAACAATGAAGGCTGCAGCATTGCATCAGAAAAATTACAATCGTATCAAAATAAATAGTTATATCAAAATTTGAAGAATATTTATTATGTATATTTTAATTTGCAAAGTATATCTAAATAAAAAAGTATATCTAAATAAAAATGAAAAATGTTCAAAATATATTTAAAATGTTATTATAGAAGACATCAATTTTAATTGGTTTTATAATATTTTAATAAATTGATTATGTGAGATGTGTAAATTAATAAATAAGTATAAACATTGTTTCAATAATGTTTTATATAGATATTATGTATCAAATAATTTAATAACTTCATTTAAAGTAATGACATCCAAGAAAAATTTTCCGAGGTGTGTTTTTTTTTATATATGTAAGTTTAGAGAACAACGAACATTAAAAATGATATTATTATTTAACATAAGAATTTTATTCAGTGAAGCGTGAGTATTATTCCAATTATTGCAGACAGGACTTTTTACGTGTAAGTGTATAACATAAAATGCAAAGCGCGTAATGCGACAATTTAAAAATATCTACATCTATGTGTCGAAATACTTGTAACAATGTGTTTACATTTGGCAGTACACATGAAATTGTGAAGAAATATTTTAAAGGCACGATAATATCACATTTACTTATAAGACTTAAATTTACTATCTAGGCTGACGATTTTATAAATGCTTGTCATTACGCGTAATTTCTGTAGACTATTGGCAATTGCATTTGCAAAAGAGAACAACATTTGTTTGTTTTTAGCCTCAAGAAAACTAAAAGAAAAGATCAGGCGTAGAAGATAATATTATCACATAAACTAACGACGAAAACTATATTATTATACATATTTTTTTAATGTAATTTTGTTAGCATCCTTGGTGAACATTTTTCTTAGAATTCTTTATATGACTCTTCAAAATTTTTATATAAATTTTATAATTTTTCATAATTTTTAATATTTAATTTAAAATAAAATTTTTCAGATCTGAAATACTTTCAAGAATTTAAAGAAGTTTACATCTTTTCTAAAATTCTTTATATACGTGAATTATGAATATCTTAAAATTTTTTATTTTACAATTTTTGAGAAAACTTACAAAATTTAAAAAATTTTAAGATTTTTTTTTAGAAAGCTTCATGAATTTAAAATATAAAAAATTGTAAAAAGATTTATGAGATATTATGAATATTTTTTCACCGTGGATGCGTGCAATGACTTTGATGAGCTTTATCGATCACCAGATCTATTTGTTTTCTATCTATTTTTTTTGATTAGCTGTCTTCGAAAATCGTGATACCATAGTTTCTTGATCAAACTTTAGAAAATTGTTTTCTCGATTAAAGCTTCGATATATACATTTTGTCGTATAATAAAATATCAGTATTGATTTTTTTATTTGCTTGACTCAGACAAACATACTCTATATTTACACAAACAGTTATGACTAACGAGATACTCTGGCACCCGAAAAGTTCATGAGTCGGTTCCTTTCGATGTTCCATTCGTAACTGAAGTCACTATCGAGGCGAGTGCGTAATGAAAAAAATATTTTTACAATTTCCCCTACAATTTTTAATAAAATTGTATTCAACAGCCGATAATTCCAATTTGACAGATCCATCATTAACCAGCAGGGTTCGTTCTCTTCTGTCTCCTCTCTTTGGCGAAGCGTAGTATGTTCGGGTTATTATAAATCATGTTGGCCAAAGTTTCAACTCCGGCGTACGTATCAGCCTTGGATCCCATGCACATGGAGAATTGAAGGCTAGAGAGCTCTCTGCTGCATTCTATCTCGTGATATACGTGCACCAGATGCCTGTCCGCCGCCCTGAAGACATCGAGGTTTGACTTAACTGCCTTCTCGAAGAATTCTACGTCCTCCTTACCCCAGCCCTGAATCGAGAGATCCAAACCACCCACAGTATGATAGTCACTTTTGTACAGTGAAACTATTCCGAAACCGTACTGCCTCCAATGTCCGGAGATCTCATTTATGATAAACTTGTCTTGCTTCTTGGCGTCGCCGTAAACGACTTTGGGATCATATTGACTAAAAACTATCGGAAAATATATTCTTCGGCCTGGTAGCGTGTTCAGGCGTATCCTGTTTAGCGCTGAGCCCGTGAATACGACGTCCACGTCGATGAACAGCATTAGATCATCGGTCTGCAACTTCGACACGCCTAAGTCCAGAGCTCGAGCTCTCGAAAAGCCCCCGGAGACCGGTAGAACCTCCATGCTGGCACTGCGATATTTGTACTTGAGCTGCTCAATCAGATCTATTGTTTTGTTGAAGGTATTCTCACTTTTGTGCTGGTAGAGTACGACGAGCAATGACGTCTTCTCGCCGCTAGTCAAACAGATATCCTCGTAATTCTGGAGGAACCTTTGGAAGATTTCGTAGCGGCCTGATAAAGGTAAAATAAAATTGATGATTTTGCTTTGCACCGGATCTTCCTCTTGAGAGTTGAAATTGAAATTCAGAAAACCACCGTGAAGTAAACTATGAATATATTTGTCGTCTGATTTCTGTTGAGGTTGAACTTCGACGCCATTTACTGTCTCGCGCATCTCCAATCCTGCGAGAACATTTAATATCAGTTAAATTTAAGCTAGTACTTAATAACGGCTTTACTTCAATAATATTTCTTCATATATTATTATAAATTTTCTCAATTATGTTGGAACTTAACGAAATCTTTTATTTTAAAATGATTGTATATGTATAAAATCATAATTCAATAAATTACAGCCTATGTTACTTTTTCGGCAGAGCAATTACAATTTTATATTTCAAACAAATGTACTCTGATAATTTAATTACTTAAACATTAGAGGATGTCTATATTTTGGTTAACGCTTACGTATACATGTAATATTATTATTTAATTTAGGACAGAAAAATATGTCTCATGAATATTAAAAGATTAATTAATTTTTGATGTAATAATTTCATTTTATATACGTCACAGGTAAAGTGTTAACTTTAGTAAATGTATACACTTAAAAAATGTGTATATACAGACTACACAGCATTACATTTACTGAGTTAACACATATATAAATATAAAAAATATGAGTAATCGTACCGGTAAAATGTTGATGGAGATAAACGTGTCTTCGAACGGGAAGAGTAACTTTCCTTCCCCGGTACTTTCGATAAACCAACAGAAGATCTAATATTGTATCAGCTCCATAAGAATTTCCCCTCCTGTATCCGTAAAGAGCAGACCGTTCTTCGACTATGCGGCCCCGTTGCCTTGAATAAGAATTAATAGAAGCCATGACCTCCCTGGTAATATCTTCCAGACCTTCTTTGATATCACTATGAATACGTCGCCTGGGATTAGAATCGGTTAAACTGTATTCCAATTTCAAGAGAAAATCCCACGGGATCACTTCGTCACTCATAGCTGGTTTGAATGAACGAAGACTTGCCGGCACACCTGCACAAACAAGATCTTTTTTTAGCGAATCAATGAATCCGGTTTCTCTGTAATTAACACCGAACGTCAAAACTTCTTAAAATATGCTGAAGTACATTATCTTTGCAATATTCAACACAAAATTATATAATTCATTATACTATGATTTATTATAATATATATAAATAAGAAAGATTTTTTTTTCTTTTGTATGCAAAGAATACGAAAAACAATATTAATTTAAACATTAAAAATTCAATATTAGAGTAGATTTAAATTACTGTCAATTTTAGTGAGTCGATTTTTAAGACAATAAATTATATTTATTCCGGCTTGGAATTGTAAAAACGTAATAATTCCATTCGTAGTTTGGAAATAAAAGAAAATGTATAAATGTCAAACTTTATATGTATAACTTTTATGATTAATCACACTGTTGCTAATCCGTGACTATGTTGCATTACGTTCGAAAAATTGCATTTCTTTGTACCAAGCGTTACGAAAATGACAGAAAATTAATTGAAGGAAGCAAATAAATGTGGTAATTTCCTTTAGGATTTTAATGTTCCGTGACTCGTGATCTCAATTGCAGTTTTTTATTGGTAAATTGTGCTCAACTCTTAAATTTCTCAACTCTTAAATAGTTTTCAGTCGGTTAATTATTCTATTATAATTTCTATTATAATTTATTGCGACGTATTCGTGTATATAAGTCATAAATATGAGTCAACGCGATAATATAGAAATCATCAAATCTGAGAAAAGTATGAAAGATATAAGGAATTAGAATAAAAGTAGTGAGACTTTATGAATTATTTAAATTTGGTAAATAAATTTGGTAAATAAATTTGGTAAATATATCGTAATGTATACTTAGTTCTAATCCTGTTAAATCAATTTATGTAGAATAATCAAACTAAACGATATTAATTTTTAAACCCGTCTAATCAAAATAGCGTATTTTTGAAATATTATTACAAAGAAATATTAAATTACAAGAGATTTAAAGAGATCTAATTTCTTTTTACAAATTTTAAGTAAATCAGGGATTTATTTTTAAATCTTTAGACTTTTCTTTATTATTTTCAACATACTCTCATCATTTTACGAGTAAATATCAAGCATGACAAAAAATGATTTTAGTATTTCTTTTCTGTGGGAATTATTTATTTATTTATTTTATTTTCTTGAAAGTTTTAAAGGTAATAGATTAATAATTACAAGATTAATTTTTCGAAGATCAAGAATTGATTGAGATCATGGAATAAATTTTGGCTAATATCAAATTATTCACAGTTCCCTTTAATTTATTTTTCATGAAATTTAGATCTGCAAGCGAAACGTTGTCAATGAAATGTAACACGAGAAGCTATGCGATACAAAGTCACGCGTTATGATTCTTGCATCTCTGAGATTGCGTATTCAATTTCAAATAAAGTTACAATTCCTTTGAGATATAATTTGATGTGTTGTCCCGTTGGTACAACATCGTTGGTACACCCCGTGGATTAATATGACAGATAACTGTAGTTGTAAGTACGCAATAAACGTGGAAGCGTTAATTTAATAGCAATATACAGTAAAAGTTTTACGATCGAAAAATGGTGGTTTTAAAGATATTTTATGGTTTGGAAAATTGTAGGAATTTAAATAGAGGAAGTGATGATAATGCATGAACATATGTAGTAAAAGAGTGCGGAATAACAATGTGGAATATTCATTAGATAAACAGTTATGCATATATTTACAAGCTTGAGAAGGAATCAACGAAATATTTATTAAAAAGATGCGTGAGTGTTAGTATACAAAAAATCGTAGTTGCAAATTAGAGTAAACGCATAATTTTATAAAAAATATATAAATAAATCTAAAGAGTAATCATTTAAATGATTTTCACGAGTTACTCTTGTCAGCAGAAGATAAAAATAAGAAAAATGCAAAGTTATAGGCCAGTATTCACAGTCTGTTCTTATTTCAAATCCGTTTTAAGTAATATCTTAAGATGCTAATACGGCTTTCTAATTGGTTCATGACATTTTAAGATTGTATTTGAGATAGTCTTAAATATAAGAATCAACTATAAGTAAATACCGCCTATACAAAGAAAGAAGAAGTAGAGATCGGCCAAAGTTTAGCATGATGTTGTAAAACCAAAAATCACGTGATTTTAGAAATGTGCGCCAATATGTCAATTACGCCAATTTTGATAAGAATCTTGACAGTAAGCTGGTGTTGCTTCTCTTACTATCATATTCACTTTTATTACTCTCACATCCGGTTTCTCAACAACATGGCAGAGCCAATGGATCGAGTCGGCATTGGCCGATTTCTACTTTTAGGATCTTTAAGAAAAAGAAAGAAGCACGCAAGTTCGGCTCTTACAGTGGTTTGTAATGACGGAAGTAAGATATCATACCCAGTATGTCCGTGTCGCCGGGATAATCCTCGGAATTAGGGTCGACCGGAAAGAGACGTACGCCTTCCGCTATTTCGTAGTTCTTCAAGGCTTCTAGGCTTACTCCCAACACCTGGGCCATCGTGTAAATGTCCCTGTGCAAACGAATCCTCTCATGCTGCAGGTCTTGTATTCGTAATCCCTGGTGGAATATATTGTAGAGTATAATTTTTGCAAAGATAACTTTTTAGTAACAAACGCATTTGCACCAAAGCGGCAATTATGATACATCAGAGATATGGACTAATTGTAAGAATCGCGAGGCGATTTATTTCTTGCATCGCTTACGTTACGTTCGTTCGCTAACGGTTATTAAATTACTTAACAGTTCACAGATAGGTAATGCAGTTTTTTTCACGTAACCGTAGTGTTTACCGTAATTATGATACATGATTATGATGCAATACAAACCCTCATGTAATTGTGCAACCTGTACATGTGAGGCGGACTTTTTACAGGATGCAAAGTAATGGCACGATGAACCTCCTTCTTCTTGAGATTTCCGGTGAACGCCTGAGCCCCGCTGCTATTGTGATAAAGAATCGACTGCATCTGTGCGGAAGGAGTATATTATGAGTACCGACACCTTCAAGAGTTGAGCAATGATAAGTAATATAATAAAACTATATTTTATTTCTAATAATACATATATAATACTAATTATTTTAAATAATTTTCTCTTCTTTCCATCTTATTTTTCACTTTTTTTAAATTTAGCAGATGTAATAAGATTTTATTCAATAGCCGTAGTAAAATTATTAAACCATGGCAACTCTTCATTGTTAAAAAGAAATCAAAGCATTGTTCATAAATCTGTCACGTAATTTCATCTTTGAGATAAAAATAAATTAATTTCCGAACTATAAATATTATACATAACTAAGAAGACCTCCAAGTAAGAATTAAATAACACAAATAATTTAAATAAGTAACTAAAGTAGTAGACAAATTAAAATATTTTGTATTGGAATTTGGCAAATTCTTGTGTTTCTCTTAATCGATGGTTTTCACGCATTTTGCTTCTAGTCAAAGTTAATTTAAGCATGAGGAATTATCCGATTAGGACTGGCTTTTATGTTTGATCAACGGCAATTGCGTTTGCCGATTCCGCGGGAGGTAGATTAATTCGTCCCGAATGTCTGAACACAATTCGCGCAAGCGAAGCGTACCGTCAAACGTGCAATTAGCACGCGGCCAGAGAAACGGAGTTGAAGTACAAACTTCCTGCCTGTGCGCGCACTACGACCGCGACCTATAATGATTACCATTAAGAATATCGGAACGCCTGGATCGAAACGTTAAACTCGCGATACGGGTGTTAATCATGACGCTGGGTGTGGTGGTTTCTTATTTCGTAGAATTACATCGACGTCTCTTGACGAATATCTTTTAAAAAGTCGCTCGCGTGACTTGCTCTGGGAGTTACGTAAAGAAATCTATCACACTTAGAATTTTATAAAAAGTTGCGCTTTTTTGAAAAGCGCCTTCCGAAATACTCGTTAAAAGAAAGTGAAGTAATAATTTAGAAAATTCCAAGATCTTTTTTTAGAATGTACTTTTTATATTTTTATCTGTCTTTCTTCAAGAATTGTGCATTTTATTATATTTACATGCGTATGAATATTACGACAATTAAATTGATACTTTAATATTTACAGACATAATTAAAATCTGTTCAAGGTTCTGTGTGCCTCTATTTTGAATTATAATTTTTTTCCTTATAATTAACTCCGACTTTTTATTTGTGGCTACTGTTTACTTTGTTATCCTTCATTTTCTTTCTTTGCTTTATACATATAACTTACAGTTTTTTCTTTATTTTTATATATTTTTTGTATTATTTTTGCTATTTGTATATTTTTGTTCTTTTACTTTTCTCTTTACTTATTTTTACATTTCTTAGAGGGGACTTGCTCCAATAAACATTTTTATTTATCTCTCTCTCTTTCTCTCTCTCTCTCTCTCTCTCTCTCTCTCTCTCTTCTCTTTTATTAATCTATTTCATGAAATAATAGAACGATTTATCAATCCTATTTAGATCAAACAAATATCTTTTATTTCGCCAATATCTAAAGACAGCTAATCTCGCAAGATTAAAGCGATATATATATATAACACCGTTATTGGTTTCTTCACCGTAATAGACGCGGCAAAGATGCTATAACAAAGGCGTGACCTACTGCCGGGATCAGTAAACTCCTTATCGAGTTTTGTGCACGCCTCGATCAATCAATCGTGCGTATTAAAGACGCACGCATTGGACGATTGCGACGAACGCTGCGCGGGCGTTACATCGGGCCGAGTATGTTAAGTGTTTTGACCTTACGTCGAGTTTCAAGATGGAAATAGATGATCTAACTCTGTGGGTCAGCAGGCTACGATTTGTTCGGACCTAACGAGTGACATCCTCATCCGTGCACTTTACCTTTCGTCGCGACAGCGATATAAACGTGCATCGAAAGTCATATCATCCACGCAAGTGCATCGCGGTCGCACCGATACAGTGTCTTTCGCCTTTTCGAATGAATAATGGATGATTGTATTAACGATTGTATTACGAATGAATTGTTGAAACGTGTTTATGCATACTTCTTCGAATTTATCGTCGCCATTCTTTATACTCGTCTTTGTTATTTCGAAGTTGAGATGTCTGTTTTGAAAAGGATTTTTAGTATATTTTTCATATAAAGAGAAAAATCCGAGATTAAAATTTTGTTTTTCTTCTTTGAAACTTATTCTCGCGGAATTAAAATGATTCAAATTATTTAATTTGCGTAATAAATTTTATTTTGCAAATTAAACATACAGCTTCATTATTTTATCAGTTATAAAATTGTTTTTTTTTAGATTTTATATTTATTTTATATTTATATAAATTTGCGATATCAAAATTTATGATTCTTCTTAAACAGATTTTTTGTTTTATTTACAACATTAATTTTTTTATTTAGATCCTCTTTCGCGCATCAATTCTACTTGATTATCGCGACATGCGCTTTAAAGCACTTCGTGTGGACAAATCGTTACTTAAGAGGTACAGTCTAATATGACCGCGAGTACCAAGGCAAAGAAGAATAGCTCTGGCCACTGGGTTAGCAGGGTACAATTCACTTTTACTCAACGACTAACATCCTCATTTATACCTTCCAACTTAATCCGCTATGGACGTGCCCGGTACATGATGCAGATGCGCGCGGTACATGTATTTAAATCGACGATGACGTGTCGGATGTACGCCCATTATGTGAGCATCGCGTCCTGATTCCTGATTAAGTTACGCATAATTTAATTTGGGATTTAACCGGTTTAAAGGAAATTATCCCTTTAACAATTTGAAGTGACGAATTGTTCGATGAGGAAATAATTGAACTATCAATGAACGATTGCGAGAGAAATGCATCGAAATATTTTTAAGTAGTAAGGTTTCTAACTCAAGGATATTATTTTACATATATAAGAATTAATTTATTATTTTAAAAAAATGTATTGAAATAAAAGGTAATTATATTAAAAAATGAAAGTGATTGTTTTATTTTATTATCTCTTTTACATATTTTTGAGACTTTTTGGCAAGAAATTTTTGGACTTTACTACGTAATTCAATCACGGATTATTATTGATATCTAAAAAAACAAAATTATTACCGAGACATCTTTGTGCGAAAGTTCAGTTCCCCAAAATTTTTGAAGAAAGGGTGATATTTGACATCGATGCCGAACACTGCTTTAGTGCGGTACACAATTTGCGCTTTGGTTTGCAGCACTCTGGTCTGATCATTGTAAGTTGAGATGAGAAGCGCAGAAGAAGTGTGTACAACGTCAGATAAACTAGCGGCGTCTAATCTCCCTTGTATGTATTAATCAACAAATCGTTTCGTGTTACGTACATGCGTTCCTGCGAGTGCTCTCGAAGAAGAAATTGGATGACCAGAACAGTTTTAGTATCACGCGAGTGACAATGAAACCGATAAAATAGTTTTACAGTTTGCAGAAGAAATACAAAAGAAAATCTTTTGTGACGATCAATACAATGGCCGTGTTCCAATATACATTACAGTACTGACAATCTATAGTTTATGTTATGTACACTATATAGATTTTCAGTACTGACAATGCATATTGAAATATGAACAACAGTGGCATTACTATGGATCGAATTGCGGTTGGAAATGAAAGAAGTTAAAGACTAACATCACAGTTTTAAATCGAATGTCGCAGTTACAAAGTTCTGTTAAAGATAAAGTCATCGTTTCAAAACTGAGGAAAACAATGATTTTGATAAATATGCGTGAGACTAGGATACAATAATGTTTTGATAATCAGCGAGATATCATCTACTAAACTCATATACATATATTTCTATCAACTCATGATAAGATAAAACATTGCCTATCTATTACACGATATATACTTGCTCTTGGTGATAAAACAAACAAATCGATAGCAAAGTGTAAGCATTCTTCAAAGAGAAAAAATAAAAATAAGCTTTACAAATAAATCTTTCAAACATTTCTCTCGTTTCTATATTATTATTGTTATTTATTAACAAGTGAAAAAAAAATTTCTTGATTCAAAAAGAATTATTTCCAAGCTATTATAGATTTTTAAAAAATATAGAATATAAGAAGAAAAAAGGAGATTTTTGTAAACTTTACAAATATCTCCTAGAAACTAAATTTTTCTCTTTAATCTTCTTAATTTTATTTGTTTGCATATCCCTCGTAATATGATCACATTAATGTTATTCTTCTGTAAACATCACGATCAAAAAGGAATTACCTCGTAGCTCCAAGTGCAGGGGATCCCAGCGTACTTTTTTACGCATCTTCCCAGCTCGACGTCCTCGTGCGTGGTGTACAAATGACGCAGGCAGTACTTAATGTGTGGCACGATCCTCCTCAGCGTCTCCCTGGATAGAACTACTCCCGGGCCACCCATGCAGAAGTTTTCATCATACTCTAGCGACAGCAATCCGAACTCTTCTGAGTTCCCTCTGCCAGCTTGTCCGATGTACATCGCCCTTCGAGAATCGACAGACCTCAGCAGCGTTTCCAATCGATCTGGCCTTACATATACGTCATCGTCTGCCCTCAAAAACCATTCAAAGCGATCACCAAAGTTATTCCACATGTATTGTAACATCATAAAGGACTTCTTTTGCGGTGGATAGGTGTCATCCACTCGTGGAAGTGGCACTAAAGGCAAATCCGGGCAATTTTCAGGAACCGTCGAAGACTCCGACGAGAAGAAGGCTATTTTGCCGGGCAATTCTTTGCCCCACGTCTCGTAAACGGCTTTGGCTCGCGTGTCCAGATACTTTTGAGCTGTCATTACGCCCACAAACACTAGATTCGAAGTGGATTTGTCGATTCGCTCGTCGTCTCTCAGCCACGGCATGTTTTGCGCTGATGTTTTTAACGATGACCGAAAAGCGGGCATGGAAGTCCAAATGGCGACCGATTGCTGCTGATTAAAGACGATCAGACGATAGCTGAGGATCAGAAAACCCAAGATCAGGCCCACGAGGAGGCCCAAAAAGGCGCTGCCCACTCCACGCCGTTTACGCATCACTGGGTGATACGTCACCTCTCCCATTTGCACTCTTTAGGGTTCCCTGGGTCTTCGATCGGGATCATCCTCGTCATGGTGCCCGTTATCGCCAATTCAGGTATAGTAATTAGATTCAGTCTCGTCAGAGGATATCCTCCCAATCCCATCGCTGTATCCGTTACTAGAATGGAGAAACTTTCTTCATAATGTAAAAAATTCCAGCCTGTGGATAAAATTATTTTATATTATTTAAAATTTTTTAAATAAAAATTATTTATTTCTTAAAAATTTTTCATATACTATATATGTTATTCTATTTGATCCAAATATTTTTTTAGAAGTAGAATTGCATCTTTCTTTATTATATATTACAATTTTAATTCTTTTTTACTTATATAGATATATATAATTTAAATAAAAGTGTTACATTCTGTTACTTGGATACAATAATTTATTAAAACTTGTCATATGATATATTAGTTTGCTATTATTTACCGTCATTTTATATCATAAATTAGGAAGTACTATTACATATTACAACTTTACATTAATAAACGCTGCGCACTTTATATCTTAAATACTGCTTTCTAAGAAATCTTTGGTAGAAGGGAGACTTGCAGGAATAAACGATATCCTGTCTGGACAGAGACGTATTTGAGATCTTAAACGAATTCTATGAGCGATGGACCTTGATTTATGTCCCCATGTAAAACAAACTTTATCTATATTTAATCTTCGTTTCTTTTTGCGAAGCTGCCTTTTAACTAATTAGTTATTTCTCTTTTACATAAGATCTTCAAATCTTGATATGTATGTTAATATTTACAAGTTAATATTTACAAGTATCAACAATAATTTCAATTAACAGATAATATAAAAATAGATTTATAACGAAACTCACGTCAAACTTTTCTTTCGAAATGTTGAAAAATGGCCATCGCCTTGAAATGACACCGATCGAAGAATATCTGGTGCGAATGCGAGCGCTTGATAATCTGAAACCAAAACAAATTATCAATAATAGAAATCGAATTAAAAATCAAAGAAACTGAAACTAATATGTACAATTATGCGGCGGCTTTAAAGAATAAGGTCACACACGTGCTAAGTGTTATCAATTCAAATTAACGACGTCAATAATTAATACTTGAATGTTTCATTTTTCATAATGAAGCATTGCTTGCGACGCAAACACTCATTATAATATTGAATGATGTTCGAGCATATACGTCAATTTGTATTCATCTAATCTTAATAGCACAGATCAATTAGTATTTTACGATTGTATTTTTTTCCAATTATTTACAGCTTATTTTTATATGTATATATCCACAGGATATTCTATTTTAATTAATTCAGTCAATTTTTCGAAATTATTGATGGTACAAAAAAATGTTTCAGATGAAAAGGTTTCGAAGAAGAGATGTATTTTTGTCACGTTGTATTTTTTAAATGTCACAAAAAGATGTCAAGATCATCTTCATCTTTTTAAATGAAATTACATAACTTTTTCATATAACATGAATTTTTTAATTTTATTCTTTATGTAAAAATGCTAAAGTAGAGATAGTGAAAAATTTACGAGATATATTATATTCTAGCAAATTTTGACATGAATTATGAAATATCTCGTAAACTATTAATTTTTGGTAGCTCTATTTTAATATGGTTTAATATGGTTATGACAAAATAATAAATCAATTAATATAAAGAGATTGTTGCTTTTCATTTAAAAAATGTATAAATTGCATAATTTTTTAAACCAATAATTTCGGAGAAAATTAACTTAATTGATAAAATAAAATATTCTGTATAAATAAAAGCAGATTATAAATATAATTGAGAAAAAATATGATTGAAAAAACAAATCTTATCAAAATAGAATCTTAAATTTTACTATATCTTACGGTTATGGTTAAGTATTGCGTAATTTACGGTTATAGAAAGCAGCGTATCTTTCCGGTTGGAAGGAGCTTCGGGTTTTAATAAGTTGTTGCAATTATTCACGGGTCGACGGATATTATGCCGACTCAAGAAAAATCTTTTTGCACAATTGGTATCTAATGTTTGGTCAGGCGACTTGTGATAATGGAAATGGGAACAAAGCAAGCTTTGTGCATAGAAAGTTGTGAAATGTATAGCGGACCTCCAGAAATGAGAACTCGACGCCGTTATAGCTTCTACAACGAATTAACCGTCTGTTATTTTTACAATCACGCTCAGAAATGCGACGTTTCGTTTGCGAATTCGCGTGCGATTATGTGACATATATATTTCGTATATTTATAATTAACAATTGGCATTGTCTTCGAATGACATTTTCTTCGATGTCATTCTATTCATATTAGTACGAATCGAATTTTCGCGGTTAAATGGTCGGTTAAATGTTCGCTGGGAAAATATGTAAAAATATTTTCTCAGCAAACAACTGCGCAACGAAGTTCTTCTAAGCGTTTTAGTTAAGAAATGATGAAATTCTAAAACTAAAAATTCTAAACTGTTTTTGCAGACAGAACAAAATTCTAACCCTTTCACTATAATGAAAGGGTCTATAGATTCTATCAGTTTTTGCTTTGAGAGCCCTTTCTAAATAGCATCCACATCATTATCCCTAATTTATATCCATCCAAATCGGCGTAGACAAAGAATCGATCCTTAGCAAAACCGGTTTCTAGCCGATTATTATATGTGCATATCGACAAAATAATTTTGAATGATGAATCTTTTTGCGATGAACTCGACTCCGTCGAGTTATAAAAAACACATGCGAATTTATAATTTTTGTCGTGGCACATGTATCGTGGAAAAATTTTAAAAGTTTCTTCTTTTTAAAAAATGGTCGCTGACGAGGAGTAACATAATTTTACAATTCCGCGTAATATTTAATATTAAAGCAATTCTTCCACTGGCGCGACTAAGTTCTCTGGTAATATTTCAAAAATTTGAGGATCGATTTTTAAAAATCAAGATAACGGATAATCAGAATGGATAATTAAATTTGTAATAATACACACTTTACTAATTCATTATTTATAGGATCGCAGCCGATTGTTCTCGTCGGTTATTTCTAGGCAAATTATCGTTATGCCTGTTTCCGTTCACACGTATCACATGGGATTATTAGAGGAAGAGACGAACGTAATTCTTTCCTTAAAAATTCATTCAAAGGTCAATTACACATGCTGAACTTACGCAATGCTATAACATTACAATGTGGGCGATGTAAACTCGTCTCAATTCAATACCGTATCAGATCGCTTCTCGCATAATTATTAAATTATACATTCACAGAATACATTAATCACTCTTCCAATTACATCTCTTTTTAAAGCATATCGCACACATGTCAACATATCTTAACATTTCTTATCGCACACATGTCAACATATCTTAGAATTTCTTAATCTAACATTGCTTCGTTAAACATGATGTATTTAATTAATCTGCAATAAATCACACTGCATCTTCATGAATTTTCATCAATTGTTAAGTCATAAAACATATTAATTATATTAACGAATTATAATATATTAACAAACAATAATCCGCGTACTTTCTGTGAAGAAATGAAAAATTTTACACTGAAAAAAATGATGTTATATCAATAGCATTATTTTAATTAAAAATAATTGTATTAATTCACAATAACACTATTAATGAAAATACATCGTGCATTAGCTTTAATATAATTGTATTTGTAGAAATGTACACGGAATCGTCAATCGATACTTCAAAGTACGGAAATCTGTGAAACCGCTCAACAAACTTAAAAAGACAACGCAGATGCGCAACCCAGATGCGTATCGATTACAGTTAACTCTTTTTAGCGGCTTTTCCGTTATCACGTGCAGAAAAAGAAAATGCGTCTCGCGTCAGATGTGAGAGCCGTTGAGGCCGAAACTCACGACTTCCGTCGAGTCCGCGAGATTAGAGTTCGTGAGAGTAGCCGGTACGGTGTAATCGCGATTATACGCACGACTCCTCGAATCCACGAAATCCCGGTGTTCATCCCGTTAAAGGATACGCTCCGGAATGACGTGCACAAACGAGCGCGTAAGAGAGGCGGGAGAACCGGTTTAAGCCAAAAGTCGGTGCCGTGGTGGATGCCGCTAGATCGTATGTTCGAAGCATTCGACTCGGTTTAGTCGATTAATACCGGAGGACGATGAAATACCGTGTGTTTTAAGTCAAGGCGAATCTTTAAAATAAAAAAATTACAGGTTCATGTAATGTCGCAAAAATAGAAGAAGGAAAGATGAACTGGCGATCATCGAGATTTTGATCGCGAAAAGTACGACGATTGCTCCGAAATTTATTCATAGATCGAAGTGGGAAGCTTATTTATTAATTTGATGTTTAATTTTCAGAATATATATTTAGTCGCGAAAAGATAAGATGTTTTTTATATAAATTGTGTAATAAATTGAGATGAGAAATGTGGATCATGTGTCGCTTAATGAGAATTCCGATGTAAATTGTTATGTGAATCTATGTTCATCCGGTTGGTTTTTAACTTCGATGAAATAGTTTTTAACTTAGTTGAAATATATTATAGAGACAAGATTAGTTTTTTTTTATAGCAAATTAGATTTTATTATTTATATGTTTTAATCTATATAAACTGGTGAACTACTTCTACGTAAAATTACAGAAATTTGTGTTGTAATTTTGATAATTGATCTATTTTAGGAATTAAAAAAAATAGTGCAATGTTTATAAACTTAAAAGTAAAAAAAATTATCATTATACATAAATCTTAATAAATCATATTTAGAAAATACTCGGAAAATATTCAGAAAATGGAATTAGTTCATCAGTCGGGCGATAATATTACATACTTAAAAAGAATAACTTTGCGCTAAAGTATTTAAAATTTTAGCTAAAATTGTGTTAAACTATTAATATTATTATGTAAGACGCTTAAGCATAATAAGCAATGTTAGAGAAAGTTCTGATATTCTATCAGCTTGAGTAGCCTACATAATTTTAACAAACATTTAAGAATTTTAAGTACGACCATATGTGTGAATACATCAAATACGACAAAGAAAGCCATGATCGATGAAATTCCCAAAAATACTCGAAGGCGTCTTTTAATAAAGCGACCATGTGTCATGGTGTTATGGTTACTCGGTTGCGGAAATGTCGGTTTATATTAGCGACATGACGAGTACATGTCGCCGACGACATTGAAGCTGCAGCCGTCGCTGCATAGTAGCTTTTGAGAGTAAAGAGGAAGCTTTCTCGATGAAGGAAATGCTGCTCTTTTTAATTGTTCCCACAGACGGCGAGACGTGCGGAATCGTTTAGTTGACCGCTAGCAACGACCACGACCAGATTGTTGCGGTCGTGACTCGAATCGAGGAGACGATTCGAGAGAGAAAGAGAGAGAGAGAGAGAGAGAGAGAGAGAGAGAGAGACACCGTTCGATCGACCGGTAAACTGAGGACGACCGTAGTGGAGTCATCGACTCTCTCGCAACGCGGGACCACGAATCGCCTCGCCGTTCGGACGACCCTATTTCATAGTCTAGCAAAGTCTAGCTGGTCCAGCAGACCCCCGAGGATCGAACACTCTTACCAAATTCAATGTTATCATATACCTATAAGTCCATATAAGTGAATTTCCTAGACGGTGAACGTGCGTTTTAGACGTCATTAATCAGAATTTTATCACGGACATATTTTCCCGTGCCAGACTCGAAGTACTGATACGTGAGCTCCACTCTTGTCTAACTCGACTTTTAAGCCTAACGGTGATGAAGGATGATGATCCTCGACCTTTCCCGAAAACTTTTAATTTACAATTTAATCGAAAATATACAATATTTCCATGTTTTTATCACGTTTTTATATCGTCATTATGATTGAGAGAATACGTCGAAATTTGCCCGATGTTAGAGACTTTATATAATAGAGTTTTACGAGCAATTTTGTCAAAATTCTATGGGAGAGAAAGATATATATATAAAATTGCTCCCTGTATATATACTATTACTCTTACTTTAACTTATACTGTTTCACTGTATAATTTTAATTAAGACTATAGAGTGAGATACACACAGTATAAGTTAAAGTAAGATATAGTATATATACAAGGAGAAATTATATATATCTTTTTCTCACATAGAATTTTGACAAAATCATTTAGACTCTGATGTAGAATCTTTACTCGATGCTAGATGCATCAAGAATTATATCAGAGAAGGTGCACTAACCCTGCGGGTTCATTGCGATCGACATGCCCACAATCACCGGTTGAATGAGCCGCATCAGCAAACTAGCAATTGGACAACACGCGCGGGGGGGGAGATGTGACTGTATCATCAAGAGCTCAATTATAAAAATTAGTAAAAAAAAAGAGTACATTTTTTTAATGCTTTATATCATAAACGTGCAATTCTATTCTCTTGAAAAATATACAATAAACTTTTCTACTCAATTTTTCTTATTACAAAATCTTAGTTGCTCGTAGTATTATATTGGAGGAAAAGTTCTATTTTGTAGTATTTTTAGCAGTATTTTGTTAGCTCCAAATTATATATACAATATAATATCTTTATTAAAAATGATCAAAATCTCAAAATTTAAATTTAAAAAAAGAATTTAAAAGCTGAAAATCTCTACTTTTGAATAGTTACTATATTTTTTGAATTTATGTGAGTTTTGTAATTTTTATGTATAGAAAATTACAAAAGTTAAAAAAAAGAGAAATTTTTTTGTCTCACTTTGTAGTTTGTCACGTGTCAAAAAAATTGCGAAAATTTTCAACTATCTATATCGTGAAAGTTTAGAGTTTTCCTTGCAAAATCGTTCTTTAAAAATGTTCCTACGATTTTTTGTTCTTGAATTATTCGCGAGTTAAGTAAAAAGGAGCATTCTGACGTTGATTGCTCCATTAAAAATCATCATATTGCAATAAAAAAAAAACAGATTCTGAAACGTTGCTCTATCAAATAGTATCATGCTAATTTTTTAAATGTAAAATATATAGAAATTTAAATTAAAAATGTTACTATCCTTATATAATCATTGCACAATGGAAAAAAGGACAATATCATATTTTTAGCTCAAATACGTATATTCTATTTTTTAAAAATTGGTATTTATACTACTAGAACAGCGTTTCAGCTTTAAGAATCTGTTTTATTAATTACGGTGCGATAATTTTTAACGGAGTTATGAACAATCAAAATCAAAATGATCTTTTATTTAATCCGTATGTAACTTCGCAACAAAAAGTTGTAGGAACATTTTTTAAAAACGAACTTTTAGGAAAAACTTTAAACTTTCACATCAGATAATCGAAAATTTTGCAACAAATATATTCTGTATATAATTTTGAGCTAACAAAATTCCACAGGACTTTTTCCAATTCAATAAAAAGAAAAAAAACTTTTTTTTAAATATGTGAAAGAAAAATATATTTACTTTTTTTTCTACAGAATTTAATCACTTGTAATTGAATCTTTTTAGAATTTGTTAAGTGCAAATATTTAATATTCTACCAAGAAAAATTTATCCAGAAAAAAAGATTTCTTCGATTTAAAAAAATGTTTCTTTGCTATATGGTTGAAGAGAACATTTCTTCGATTTATAAACGTGATTTCTTTGATTTAAACATTATTTTTTTAAATCAAATAAAATTTATTTGATTTAAAGAAATTATGTTTCAAATTCAAGAAATGATCTTTGTTAGCTCAAAATTATATACAGAATGTTTGTTACAAAATTTTTAATTATTTGACGTAAAAGTTTAGTTTTTCCTAAAAGTTCGTTTTTAAAAAGAAATTGTGATTTGAACGTCATTTCTTTAATTCTCAATTACATTTTTTAAACATTATTTTTTTTTAAATCAAATTAATTTTTAAATAAAATTTATTTGATTTTAAAAAATTATGTTCAAATCCAAGAAATAACGTTCACAAATTAAAGAAATTTTTTCTTTAACCAAAGAAACATTTTTTTTAAATCGAAGAAATCTTTCTCTGGATGTTGAAAGGATGATTGTTACTAATAAGGCAAATAAAATAATTTTATCGACAAGACTGCAAATCTGCACGTGACTAATCTGCACGTTAATTGATTTAAAGCAACACGCAATGTTTCGCGGAAAAAACAATGATTTCTTCGATAAAGGGAAGAAAGAAAAAAGAGCTGATATATTTCATTTTATATCGTTCAATCATTATCAATCGTCACCTCCACGTTTCCGCGAAATGTGCGTGTGATCAGAGACAAAAATAAACCTCCCTCTAGGAAGAGAAACTTACTTTCCAACACTCGACCAATCCGTTCTTTCGTCAGTGCCACACACACACCGTTTCCGTCCGCACGTGGTGCACTTCTCCTTTTTCACGACGAAAAATGCCGCGTATTGTGCGCTCCACTCTTCGGGCGATCATAAACTTCCACAGACCACACAATTAAACTCGCACAAAATCAAAGGCTGCGAGCACGAGTTTCAAAAGTTTCTTTCGTTAAAAGGAACATAGGTAGCTTACTGATTATTAATTTGATACCAACTTATTGATCACGACTATTTTAACTAAACTTATTAAATGCCAAAGCAGAGAGGCCTTTCCGAAAAAAAATTTAAAAAATTATTGTCTTACAAAAAGTTAAAGCGTTATTTTTTTCGTAGAAGACTTGCTCCAGATGACTTTTAATTTTGATGCATACAATAACGGCATTTTTATCACTAGTTTTTTTTCCTCTTTTGTTTCCTCTCACTTTTTTTTTCAAGGCAATCCACTCTTAAATCGAAACACGCAACAGGAGGTAAGTATCACCAGTAGTTCGAAAAAGATAGCAACAAAGAGGCGTCCCTATTCGTTGAAAGGAAAACCATCGCCGATTTTTTTTTTAATATCAGATTTTCATTATCACCGTGGCTTGATAAACGCGATCAAGCAATCGTGAGTTGCAGAGAGGCTTACTGAAATATATGCGACAGTTTAAGAGCACCCCTCGTCCACGCCGGAAATGCGATCCGATTAAAAACCGGCGCGGTGGCAAGCAGCGGCGGCGGCGGCAGGCACCTTTTGAATCCAGCCGAGGATGCCACCGCCGCGACTGAGAGGGCTGAGGGACTCACCGGACTCACCGGACTCTGGAATCGGCGGTCACCGCCAAGCAGTGATGCACATTTGTTCCTCTGCGCCACAGAAAATCATCCACACCACTTTTGCCCCACCAACTGACATTGCGCTCGGCTAGCTTCGACGTGGAGCAAGCGAAGCAGCGTACAGGCTATCTTTCCCGCCTTCGGCAACCTTCGGAACACCAAGAGTGAACAGACAGCGAGAGAGAGCCCGTTCTTCTCTTTCTGGTAGCTTGTTTTTAAGCGACCAAAAACCGAAAATGCTTTCTCAGCAATCCCTGCAGAAAGAGACATTCTATGTAGGGTTTTAATAAATTTTTAGTAATCACATATTTCTCTTATTAATCTGTAATGCAAAAATAATTTCAAAACGCGATAGTTTACAAAACGATACAGATATTAATTGTTTATCATTTTTCATGCGTGATATATATATAAGACTGCGTTCATAAACGTGATCTACAAGAACTCTGAGTGACTGAACGCGTATCAAAATGTTGGAGATCTCATGGTGGAATCCTACTTTTTTCCTTTTCTTATAATTTTTTTCTGAAATAAGTAAAATTATTAACAAATATATTTTTATGTAATTATTAAATTTATACTAATTTGTATTTTTAAAAGTTTTAAATCAACAACTGTAGAAAAAATACTTTATTTAATTACTTTATTTAATAAACAAATAAAATATTAGTAAACCTTAGCATCTTGCAACGTTTCTTTTGAATAAGAAAATCTGCAGTATTTTTTTTCTTTATTTTTCTCAGAAATTTTTGACGTACTTAGTTTGTTTGAAAATAAAAATAAATTCTAAAAAGAAAAAGAAATGAATCTATTATTTTGTCTTTATTCATTTATATTCATTAATATAATACATTATTATATTAATTATTATTATAAGATGTTCCAAGATATAAGTTTCTGTCAACCGCGCTTTTGTGTAGATAGAGTGCATTAAAGTCGAAAAGTCCTCTACCATTTTGCAATTTTCGCAACAGTTAACAAGATTAATTACTAAAAATTATTGAAAATTGATCTTCAATAATTTTTTTACTCAAATACTATCAACTTTACAAAGAAACTGTGAAAGACAAAAATTATTTATTTTCTTCTCATAGAGCTAAGAATTTTTTCAGAATTTTTCATCAACTTTTTAGTACTGCATTTTCTTATTTTTACTAACATGAGGAGATACGGTATAAAAAAATTCTGAAAAAATTCTTAAAGTTCTATGAAAAGAAAATAAACAATTTTCATCTCTTATAGTTTTTCTGTAAAGTTGATATTATTTGAGTAAAAAATTGAAAACCAATTTTCGACAATTTTTAATAATTAATGTCTTGTTAACTATTACGAAAATTGCAAAATAGTAAAAGATTTTTCGATTCAGTTTAATTTGCTCTACTTATCCATGAAATATTTGGCGATTATTTTGGGACACTGTATATGTCAAGATCAAGGACCGAAAAGGCCCTAATAAGTTTACCTAATGAAATTTTAAAAATGAGTTTTATGTAAATATATCTCGAAAACTATATGAGACCGCCAATTAATTCACCAGAAAAAGTTGATCAGTAGTCTTACTTCTATAACATATATCAAGATCAAGGCTATTGAAGAAGTATTCTCTAATGTAAAGGTTTACATATCTTTAATTTTTTTAAAATCCTCTCTAATCCTCTTTGAAAAAAATTATACATGTAATTTTTCATTATGTATAATATATCTTGATCTTTGGCATTTTAATAGTCTAAAGTCTAAAGTCTAAAGTCTAAAGTTAAATGCTATTAAAGTATCTCGAATTGAAGATACAAACATCCATTACTTATTCGCGTTAGCTTAATATAAAAGAGCTCATTATTCTATATGATTTAGAGCTAGAACAGAACCACCAGTGCCTTGACGTTTTTGCCAATAAAATTTGACCCTTTTCTCAAGGATCAACGTTATATATTTATTTCCTGTCTAACATTCAGTAAAATTGAACAATTGTGTTTAATAGAACAGCGCTCGCATTCCATATATTAAAAAAAAAAAAAAAATAAAAATGGCAATTAAATCTTGTAAAATACGGAAAAATATTTTTTATTCCCATTTGCTATGCCATTTAATAAATGTGCAATCTTAGAAAGATAAATGCGATAAATATGGGATATTCTGATATTCTGATATCTGATTAATAAGAGGTACAAAAAAATTTCATCAATGCTGTGATTACAACAAACAATCGTAAACTCGTTGGAACGCTGTTTTATCTGCCATTGAATTACTATTTAAAATCTTCTGGATCGTAAGACTGAGAATCGCTGACGGCAAATGTCGACACAGCAATCGAAAATTATGCGTAATGGTAGTTTGCAAAACTATCCAGCAGTCATCGACCATTGTACATGAGTATGATGAGTCACTTTCGTTAATCGTAAATGCATTCCGTTTTTCGAATGACATAGCGCATTCGCGGGTTGATTGGATTATTAGAGAGAGTCATTAATTTCCCGTACAATCCGGCAAAGATAAGCACGACCGAAAAATATTTAAATAAATATTCAATTATACTTGATCACTGAATGTCTATAAATCCCCGTGTAATCTTCTATCAATAGTAGTCTATCGATTTATTTCGTGTCTATTGTACATGAATCTTTAATGAACCGGAAAAATGGCGAATTGAAATATCGGTTAAACGCGCCTAAACGTTTTGATGTCTTCCGTGTTTGTTACTCGATACCGAAGTAGATAACAGTGTTTTATAATGCAATTTCTCCCATCGATTGATTATATAATGATCCACTTTCTTGATCTACCGAACGTGATTTTAATCGCCATTTGTCAATAACTTATCAATTATTTGTCGATATTATATTTACTCGAAGTATCAACATGCTTAAATTTTAAGAAAATTATCCAATATATAATTAATTAACCCTTAAACGCTTTTTTAGTATGGTATATTCGATTTTCTTTTTCCAATGCTTTTCCCATTACTTATAATTTTTTGTGTTAGTTAATAAAATTATGTTCCTTATATGGCATTAAAAAAAAAATTTTTTCAATATGTTTATTTTTAGAAAGTCATAAGTAATCGATTGGATGGACATATATAGTATATACACTGTTAGAAATATTTTTAAATTTTATTAATTTTTAAGTTAATAAACAATTTGAATTTAATTTCATGACATTATATACATTTAATGTATTTATAACTAAAAATATATTTGTGTATATGTACATAAAATTTAATGTATTTTTCATGAAAATTAATGTATTTTTCGTAAAATTTTATTAAAAGTACATTAAATTTCATAAATTTAATATATACGTTCATTTTATTTAAATAACTACTGTAACTTAATTTGCAGTTAAATTCATTCATTATTTTTAATTTCATTCATAACCACGAGCTTCATTTACATGTAAAGGAAGTTCGTGTTTATATTTCTAACAGTGTATCCATCTAATTCATTAAAGCAAATACCACTTTTTAAAACTAATAAATATCAAGGAAACCTTAAAAAAATAATTTTCTTAAAGTAAGTTAAACTTTTTCTTTCAAGTTTTTTTCTGAGTGTAAATACCGCAATGTGTTCTTTTAGAATGAAATTTGAGGATTATGATTGTTTATATATATATATATATATATATATATATATATATATATAATTAATAGCAAAGTGGCAGTACTTTATTTTATTAAATATATTATACAGTCGCTAAATTTTATCGATGCAGTTTCAATTTTCAGTAATATCTGTGGAAGCGGGTCTGCTAATTTTTTTATATTTCTAAAGTATTATATTAGAGTAGGTATTTGAGTAGAATAAATCGTGCGCCAAACTCATCTTTTCAACTGGTATTACAATCAACTTTGCATCTCACACATGTGCGTGACATCATTACAAGTGCCCGCATCGTTAAACGCGTCCACCCATATAGTAAGAACAGTAGAAGCCGTCGTTACAGCCGCAATGGCTGCGTGTCTATAAAGCAGGAACTTCCGTCGAAATAGAAGCGAATTGAACTACCTTTACGCTTCGTGAATTTCGCATTATCTCTCATTCGCCGCGCTCGATTCTTGATAGACCGGAACAATCGAATTAAGACACGAAGGAGCGATACGTAGAAGTTAACGTGTAAAAAACGGCATGTTGGATTATCATTTGGATCTAGGAAATGATAGTCAGATATCTAAGCAAAAATCTTGTAATTGACAAAGAGAGAAAAGAAGAGGGGTATCACAGAAACTATTATAAATCGGATCTATATCTTGGAAGGCGTTGGAAAATGCCTTTCTTTTCTATAAAGTTTTCTAACACTACATAAAGTTTCGAATTACTTCGAATATTATTTGAAATAAAAAATTTCAAAGGTCTTGAAATATCTTTGTGTACTTTAAAATTCTTGATAATTTAGAAAGTCTTTCTTTACAAGTATTCGAATTTTTGAGATGTATCAAATTCCTAAAAACAGTTGTTTTCTATGTTGTCTATGAAATAAAAAATAAATCGGTATAATAATGTAAAATGATGGAAGGAGAAATATATATATAATATTATTAAGAATTTTTTCCAAGATTTTTATTGCCTTCAAATTTCCAGAAAATTTTTTTATTGATTTTTTTAAAAGTATTCTATTGCAAGTTTTGTGTTAAAAATAGAATTACTAATTGATTATTATATAATACATATATAAATAGCAAAAGGAATTGAATTTTTTGTTACATTTCTTGTTTGAATTTCTTAGATTTTTTTTACGGTCATGATTATATGGAATTTATGTTATTTGCTTCCGATCTTACAAGATAAACGACAATGATTACCTTGTTACGTAAATAATTCATATTTCCTTAATATTCATATAATAATATATATATCTCTCGTTCTTTAGTATTATTTATAACGCAATTTTATACAACTCAATTTGAATGCAA